CCCCAAAACCCCAAAACCCCAAAACCCCTTTTTATATCCCTCCAGTTGAAGATTATAATAATATGAGAGTTATTATCTTATTGTTTGCACTAGTAGCTGTTACTCTTGCTAAATACCAAATTGGTAGTGGCCAGCAATGCTATCAGTGTGCTACAGAAGGCAGTAAAATATGCAGAGATGCTATAGATCCTGAAGTTAGACACTGCTGTGGAGAGTTTGAGTACTCACTTGATTGTGGAAGTTGGAACGATACTCAATGTTCAGATCAAATAACAGATACAAGTGATTACTACCTCTTGAAATTGGAAATAATTTTGTTTTAAAAAGCATGCTCTCTAGGAAAAGAATGAACCCATAGAAATCCTGGTCAGACTGGAAAACCCCTGTAAGACTCCTTCTTCCTCTTGGAAGCCGCTTAAAGATTCTCATAGGCTATCAACTTATCTATGATAGGGCTTGCTTTAAGTTCCAAAAGTTTTGGAGAGTCCAATGAGTAAATTTTTCAAATTTCTTCAGGATTTGTTGATTAGTCTTCTCAACTAAAAGAAACTTTGAGGGAGAAGCTAAATGAAAGTTTTTATTGCATTTTCTGTAAAAATGAGCGAGATGGCTCGCTCTTCGGAATATCAACACTAATAGTAGAACTCAGGCGAGCTAAGAAGGAGTCATTTTTCTTTCATACTTATAGAAAATACAATAAAACTTGAACTTAGCTTCTCCTTTATAATTTTCTCAATTGAGAAGACTAATTGTCAAATCCTAAACAAATATGCATAACCTGCACGTTGTACCCTCCAAAACTCTTGGAACTTAGTGCAAGTCCATCATAGATGCTTTGAGAGTCTCTGAGAATCTTTAAGCAGCTTCTAAAAGGAAGAAGGAGGCTCATAGAAGTCTTCTAGTCTTATCAGTATTTCTGTGGGTTTACTCTTCTCCTTGAAGTCATGCTTTTTAGAACAAAATTATTTTCAATTTCAAGGTGCAATACGGAAGACATTTACTTCTGTGTGATACTTTCAATTCTTGCAAGTATGATCAAATTTGGCCATCGTAAGAGTTCGCCTTGCTTCATTCAATATTTTCATCCTGGTTAACTTTGTGTCTCAATTCTGATAAATTTGACTCTTTTATTTGCAACAATGACTAATTTTTATCAGAATACATTCTCATTTCAAATAGAATTGATGAGGTATAGTAAAGCTGAAAGAATGTAACCTTGTACTATCTTCTAATTTTAAGAAGATCATTTGGCTGGATAATCTGTAAACCCCACTTTTTGAGTGAAATAATGTTAGAATCTATAATATTTTGGTGATTCTACCATTATTAAAAATGCGACTTTCAGATTATATAACCAAGTGATCTTCTTAAGATTAGATGATATCTACAAGGTTACATTGTTTCAACATTTTCTATAACAGGTTATACAAAAAAATCTAATGTTGGCTGATCCCTGTGCTATCAGGCTCTGGAATGTTGCTTCAGGCAATTATAAGATAAAATTTACAAGTCTTGAAGCTAGCTGCCTTGATGCAATTTTGTTCACTCAAGAAAATTCTGATCTTAATTATTTTAAATTCGTAGGAAAAATTGAATACGGAAATGATCAGAATTATAGTATTTCTTCTAAGAATGATCAAGCACTGCATATAAAGGTATAAAAAAGTGTTCTAATTTTGTCAAAAAAAATTAATCCCTTCAAATAATCGTTAAACCTTACAATCAGGTGAATAATATGAGCTTTGAGCAGGAAATGCAGTGGACTGCCTGATAATCCTCTAAGCATATGCTCGTAACCATTGCTGGAGCAGTTATCTTCTGTCTATGCTCAACCTTAATATCTATAATTATTAAAAACCTAAAAATACACTAAACAGTCAAAGAAATCAACTCAACCAACAACCCCTGCCTTGGGGTTTTGGGGTTTTGGGGTTTTGGGG